CCTTGGAGGCCGAGAACCCTCCTCGGCAGTCGCGTCCATCAAGCGAGTGCCTTATGCAATCCTTCCTGGATGGTCATTGCCAAACAGGTCTGGACAGGTTCTGGCTGGGCACCTAGTCCCCAACCCCGCGACTGTGCTCACTCGCGTTTGCTGACTGCTCGAAATCGTCAAGACGTTGCTGGACTTTTGTGTTTTTCCTTTCGAGCTACTTAATGCGTTTTCCCATCCGCTTTTCCACAATCTCCACGATGTCATGAGCCATGAGGTCACGTCCCCCAAGGCCTTGATCCATAGGGAGCGTTCTTTGCGAAGAATGCCCCACCCCATCTGATTGACCCAATGAGCCTGGCTCCAAAACCATTGGAAGCCGGACGGGCTCTGCGTTCCTAGCCCGTACACCTGTTCCCTCACCCTGAGATCGAGTGTTCACCATCAGAGGATTGCTACTGAAAAAAATACTTTTGTTCCCACAAACGGAGCCAAATTGCAAAGGATGATTCCTGCAATCGTGTGAGGCGGCGATCTCCCAACTAGCGAACCTGGAACAACAGGGTCAGAAAAAAAAAAAAAAAGGGTTAGGCGTGTGCCCGACTAATACCCTCCGAAGCTTAAGTTAGTGTAAAATCGAAGGGTTTCGCTTCATGGACTTTTTCTAGTTCGAGTTTGCGTCCCTTTGTTCATTTTTCTGAAGAATATTTATACTTGAATTAGCAAAGATTGTCAAAGATCTTCAGTCACATCTGGAAATCTTCATATCTAACACACCATCCCTCGTGCAGTGAGTGCTTCCTATTCACATCTCCTCCTCTTGAATGCTAGAAAAATGGGGTAAAAGCTCGGTCATCCGCCGAGCACTTATGCCACTCCCCGAATAACCAAATCCATCAGGTCGGCATCTGATACCAACTGAGCATTGAATACTTGGCGGAACAGTTTCTCGGGAGAGCTGATGCGTCGTCTCGGCGTGTCAATCATTAATGCTTAGCCATCATGACAGTAGGCTTAGACTCCCAAAGGGCAGTCGCTTGCAGGCGCACATTTATTTATCTCGTCACTATCACTCATTCCACCATAAATGTGAGGTCACATCACATTAAATACGATGTCAGCTGTCGTACTCGGCTGCTCCGTGTCACCATACCTCGGCTCACCTCCTCGGCATCCTTTGGTCATCCCAATGGCTTCATTGTTCCACATGTCAACCCGGGGGCTGAAGAGTCGCACTGGAGTCCCGCTAGTTATTATTGTTTAAGTCATTTTATACACATCTCTCGATTAATTGTTTTTTTAGTTTGGTCAAAGATAAGTTATCTAAATCAAGATTAAGGTATTTATGAAGGATAATTTTCTCATGACCTATCCCTAAAAAAATTGTCAAGAATTAAATTCAAAAAATTTGAATTTACGATATATCTCTATTAACACTTCAACAACCTTAAAATTTGCTATGGACCACACTTCTAGCCATAGGCATTTTGCTTGATTGAATGATATACGCCATTGTCAAATTGTGTTGGTAAAGGTTTTTTGAAGTGGGATTGAATCGGATTTAAATCCCTCCTAATATAGGCCCGATCATAGCCTATTCCAAATATAACGTGTTCTTGTGAGAATCATTATAGATGTATATCCATCTCCCCTTTATAGATTCAATTGTCTACTTTTATTCAAAGGTTATAATTTAGTGTCATCTCCTTGGTTACTTTCTTATTTGCATTTTGTTTTTGCAGAGGATTCATCTACTGTGGGGAGACAATGACAAGCTTTTCGACTTGGAAGTAGCCCAAAACATAAAAGAGTAAGTCAATTTTCATATTAGATATATGATTATTTCAAATGTGCTTTATTCCATTATCGTTTGTTCAAGTTGCCTATCATTTTCAATATCTGAAAAATATGCATATAGTTTTTTTGTAATTATGCACTGAAATTATACACCTAGAAAATATACGGTTTTAGTATGAAAAGAATAGATAATTGGAAAAAATTGGGATTGAATCGGATTTATATCCCTTCTAATATAGGCTCAATCAACCATATGATTTTATATTTGTTTCATAAATTATCGCGGGTTATATGCTTATTTTCAAATAAAAAAAGTGATACCCAACTTGGTTAATTCACATTAAATATATGATTACTTCAAATGTGTTTTATTTCATTATCATTTGTTCAAGTTGCCTATCCTTTTCAATAATTGATCTGCCTCACCATTATTAGATCAATTATTCATCCTCTTTAATCGGTCAATACAATGACAGGCTGACCAAAAGCTAATTTATTTCTCATCAAAATCACATGGTAATAAAATATAGGGTTAATAGTATTTTTTGTCCCTAAAATATGCTCGTTTTGTTAATTTAATCCTTAATTTTTTATTTTTTTCAATTTAATTGTTAAAGTATTCAATTCGTGTTTAAATAGTCCCTATACAGACGAGCCGTTAAATTTTTGACAAAAATGATCATGTAATATCATCTGAAAGAATGACATTTTATTATTTTTATCAAAAAAATTAATGGTTTGTCTGTGTAGAGACAATTTAAACATGAAATGAAAATTTTGGAGATTAAATTGATAAAATTTATACATTGAAGACAAAACGAACTTACTTTAAGGACCAAAATTACTATCAGCACTAAAATATAACTTATGCTAATTAGACGATTTCAAACATGATCACAAACAATTGGAAGGCAAACCCACCTTGCACTTAAGCATGATAGTTCTCCTATATGGAGAGCTATTGGCAAGACCAAAAATTTGGTGGACCTAGGGTCAAAATGGTTAATTGGAGATGGAACTCATATAAATTTTTGGATTGACCGGTGGTGGGGTGAGGGTCCATTAGTGCAGCAGGTGCTTCTACCAGATTGTTTGAACCTCAACAAGAAGGTTGTTGATTTCATTGATGATAGAGGTAACTGGAATCTTCAAGAGGCAAGTACTCTCCTTCCTTACTCCACTCTGCTTGATTTGTTTCATTCTCCCTATCCTTTAATTTTTGACTTTTAGGATACTATTTGTTGGGGGCTTTCACACAATCGAAAATTCTCCACAAAAGCTGCTTATGACCTAATTTTGAAATCCAACCCCAGGATGGACTTTTACTACACTGGGATTGGATTTGGAAATTAAAGTTACCTCAAAAATTAAACCAATTCTTATGGATTGTACAACATGAAAGACTTCTCACAAATAGCCTTAGGGTCACAAGGAATATGACTAGTGATGCCTCATGTGCAAGATGCCATCACCCTGATGAATCATCCCTCCATGTGATTTTTGAATGTCCAAAAGCCAAAAAGGTGTGGAATTCTCTCAATGCATTTAATGATGACGAACCTATTAGTATTGGAGGGATTCATAATTGGAGCACTTTGAATTTTAAAATAAGGATGACCAGAGACTGGAAGGGAATCAGTTAGCCAATTGTGTGTGCTTGTGTTGCATGGTGCATATGGAAAGATAGGAACAGGGAAAGCATTTCAAAAACTTTCACCTTACCTAGATTGGTTGTTAGGGAAGCATGGCTCCTTGCCTTGGACTCTGTTAAGGCTTTCTAGCATACTAGTCTGAATGCTATCATTACTTCTCATTCCATTATTGCTTGGTATTTTCCCCATACAGGTTAGAACAAGCTTAATACGGATTGATGCTCAAAAGGCAACCTAGGCCCAGTAGGAATAGGAGGAATCATAAGGAATGATCAAAGCAAATGGGTTGCAGGCTTCTATGAGAGGTTGGTAGACTCCTCGAGTCTTCAGGCAGAACTTGAGGCTATACAGAGGGGTCTGGATTTGGTTCACGGGGGGAACATCACTCAGATCATTGTGGAAATAGATTCTCTCGATGTTGCGAAGCTCCTTTCTGCGATTCCAGAAGCCACCCACTTGAACAGAGATATGATTACTCAATGCAGGAGGCTTATGGCAACAAGACAGATCCCTATTGTTCACACTCATAGAGAGGGTAATCGATGTGCGGATGCCTTGGCCAATCTAGGTGTCCAACAAATGGAAAAGTTTGTGGAGTTGGATGATTCTCCCTCACAATTGACTAATTTTTTGTTAGCAGACATGTTCAGCGTGGCTTTTACTAGACATTTTGTCTAGTTTTTTGTTCTATATTTTGTTTTTGTTTTCTTTTCCGATGTACCAAACAAAAAAAGGCAGGGCATCTTGTTGGGCTGGAGCGGCCTTTCATGTACACTCGCCACCTCAAGAAAATTCTTACATCCTTAGATGGATAAAGGCTCCAGAAAATGAACTGACTTCTTGTATGTTCATTCTTTTGTAATACAAAGTTCAACCAGTTCTAAATCGTTTGTTATTTCCCAATCATTCAGCTTGTTTGTTTACATAGTTTATAGGTTTGTAGGACCCAAAAAAAGAAGAAGACAATTAATGGTGTCTTTATTTGATAATTTACAAAGATATCCTTTCATTCATTTAGATATGATAAAGATTTGAGAAAGACATTTTAGTGGTTGTGTGAGCTTATACTGTCAATGCCTTTGTGACCACAAAGAATACAAGGTAGTAAATGACATTATATAATTTCTTATATCATGTCATTTTTATGTATTTAATTTTTTGTCGTGACATTATGTCAACATAATAAGATGGTACTTAATATTTTACTAGGTTCGAAACCCAAATGCCAATGGGTCTGTCTCTAGAGTTCTATATGAGAAGAAGACCCTCCCGCCTATTTGATACAATTATGCTGTTCTTAGTGCTGTTTTCACCGCACGGTTTTTCCCAATGGAAAAAGAAGAATTTTCTTGGCACGGAACCAGAATGTGAAAATGGGTGAGAAGATGAAAATTTAAGGACGCAATCCCTACCAACTGTTTGTTAAAATGTCGCAGCTGTTATTAAGGTGGACAAAGTCAATGATAGCCAGCTCAGGTCAGTCCAAAACTTGATATATTCAGGTAGGGCATACACCAGATCCCAGATGATTTCATCGTTGTCGAACAAAACTGAATAAATAAGAGAGAGAGAGATGGTGAATGCGTTTACAGTAGTGAAGCCATTGTTGCAAGGGCTGATGAAGCTAGCTGGGATGACACCCAAATTAGTGGAGATCGAACCAGGGACAGTAATGAATTTCTGGATCCCAAATGAAACGATCAAAAGGAATCAAAATCAAAATCAAAACCATACCAATCACAAAACCAACAAGCCTGCGGTGGTACTTGTTCATGGCTTCGTCGGAGACGGCATTATAACATGGCTATTCCAACTATTGGCTTTAAACGGCAGGTACGCAGTCTACGTGCCGGACCTCCTCTTCTTCGGCGGCTCCACCACCGACAGCCACCACCGGTCAACCACCTTCCAGGCAGAGTGTTTGGCCAAGGGTTTGAGGAAGCTAGGAGTGGAGAGTTGTACACTGGTGGGTTTTAGCTATGGAGGTATGGTTGGGTTTAAGCTGGCCAAGTTGGCCCCAGATTTGGTTGATTCTTTGGTGGTTTCCGGCTCGGTTCTGGAATTTACTGAGTCCATTAGTCGTGCTTCGCTGCAGAAGATTGGGTTCTCACGGTGGTCGGAACTTTTGTTGCCGGAGACCATTGAGGGTGTGAAAGCTATGCTTACAGTGGGTACTCACAAGTTGCCATGGCTTCCTGATTTTCTTTACAGAAACTTTCTGGAGGTACTTATACTCTTGCTTACACCCTAGAGTAACAATATTAACAGTCAATGAACTGAATTAATGACTAATTCGTTATCGATTTGGATATAAAGTTACCCATCTAATTAGTACATTTTCCACTCCTAATCAACCACCAACCCTGTCTTTTGCTGGTCCCCAGTAAGGTAAACAAAAATAAAATTACACTACTTTCACTTTCGTAAGATTCATGTGCGTGCAAGATCCTGCACAATATAAAAAACGAGAACAGATCTCTCCTTTGGTGAACTTCGAGTGAGCCAGTTGAGTGACCAACCACGCTGCTTGGAACAGCCTGCGAGGTCCGGTGGTAACCTGGAACGACGACGGGAGACCCTGGGGGAGCGGAAGAACGATCCAGTAAGGCTGAAAGAGGTTCCTGGAACAAAGAAGAACAAGTTAGAAGGGCGCCGGAGTGTTTTCCGGTGTATCCCCTCCGACGATCTAGTCAGTCTTTGAGAGAGAGAGAGAGAGGAAGGAGAAAACACTGAGTGTGTTGTAGTAAAGAGTTTTTTGTTGCATACCCGTCTTGCCTTTTGCAAGGAGTATTTATACCTCAAAAGCTCATGATTGCTGTCAGTGTAGTCAGTATGTGATCATTAGGTACAGGCAGTGTGCGCACTGATTCTGATGAGGAATGTCTTCTCTTCTTAACTGCTCGGGGTCCCGAGCAATCAATGTTGGGTCATCGGGATGCCGACGGTACAATGTACTCCTCTCGGGGAGGATGTAATAAATGCTCTGTATTAGGAGCATTTATTGCCTTTCATTTCTGAGCCTTACCGCATTGAATGCGGTCTCATCAAGGGAATGGTGTAATTAATAGTTTGCTTTCCCAAGTCGCGTGTCAGCAACGGCATGCGGTTTCTCTGTCTTCGATGTGATATCATATGCCACGCGTTCATCCCTCATTGGTTGTGGCCCCTGCATTCCAGTACGTTCTGACACTAATTGTGTAAGACGAGGTCATGATGAATAGCCTAGGCTAATGACCTGTACGTCAATAGTTTATCCTGGAGTAGAGGAGGTGTCTAGGACGGGTACACCTCGGCACCGAGGAAAGGTTCATCTCGGAACCGAGGGAGGGACACCGACCGAGGTACCATATCAGACTGAGGCTACGTGTCGGTTGTAAAACGTACTGAATACCATGATCCTATATGAGGAGTACCTCGGGGGCGAGGACCTTTGCGCGCCGATGGTGCTTGATCTTAGCAACAGTGTTTTGGTAATACCGAGGACACGTGTCTTCATCATGGAGCATTTCAGAAAAGTCCCATCAACTGCCCCTCAGCCTTCGATCTTCTGACACCGAGGGTACGCGTCGTAAGGAGACGAAGGGTTTCCCAACCACCACAACTGCTTCATCATTGTCTCGAGCCGCTTTCCCCGGCTTGGGATGTCGTGCGCATTAAATGCGCCGTTTCGTTTTTCGCGCCCAATGATGAAATTGCCTCTATATAAATGGGGCTCCTCTTCCGTTTTCTTGTTTCGTCATTCCGAACTTCCTCAAGAGAGCCTTTTCTTGAATCTTCTCCAGAGATCTCTTTCTTCTTCCATCGTCGACTGCCCATTCTTCCTTAAAGTCTTAAGGCCAGCAGACCCATCGTTGCTTCTGAACTTTCTGGAAGGAGTCGCTTTAAGGTTTTCCAGAAAAAACTCCGTTTGACATTCGGGTGAGTTCTAGTATCTTCCTTCTTTTCTTCATCCTATCCCTTTTTGTTTTTCGATGACTGGAGGTGTCTCCGGTTGATACATAGCGACTAATCCTCGGGAAACTTCCTCAGAGATTTTTAAGAAAAAATACCCTCTACTTTCTCACTTTCTTAGAGATGCCTCGTCGTCGCCCTGCTCCCGAGAATCCTCAGGCTGGTTCTTCGAGGTCGGGGAAGTATAAAGTAAAGGGTGGTGAGCAGATTGATAGGTTTAAGGTCAAGTACGGCATTCCCCCGTGCGTAGACGTAGAGGATTATAACCCGGTGGTGCACTCTCCTACCCTCGGGGCCGAGGATGCTATGCCCTTTTATACCAAGGCCATAATAGAGGGAGGAATTAGGTTTCCTTTACCCCCCTTACTTCTTCAGTTCCTTTCTCACTTCCGCCTCTTCCCCGGGCAATGTTGCCTTAATGTCTTTCGAATAATTATGGGGGTCTTAGAGCTCAATAGGCGCCTCGGGATAAATATTGGGCTCAACGATCTCCTTTTTTGTTATTCCCTCCTGAGAGTCATGCATCACCAACACTTCTACCTCAAAGCCAGGGACCCCTCCATGTACCTTGTAACTCATCTTTCCGACTCGGACAAGGGGTACAAGAACAATATTCTTATCTTCAAGGGATCTTGGCAGAGGTATTGGTCCCGAGTATAACGACTTGTTATCCCCTCTGGAATGGAGAACGACAAGTACGTCGGTTCCTTCGGGTTTATTATTTCGTTCTTCAGATTTCCCATGTTCATGACTACTTTTTTGTTTGTGCAGATATTCCTGCTCGGGAAACAGCTCCTCCTCCTCGGTCGCTGGTGAACTTTGCCGACCTAGTCACGGTTTGGAGATTTACTGGTGACAACGGGTTCGGCCGGGCTGCCCACATCCTACTGAATTACACCCCCGGGTATAAGAAATTTTCACAGTTTCCTCAGCCTTTTGAGCCTTCGCAGTGGTCTGAACTCTTCGATCAGGCGGTAAGGCAAGAGGTCGAGGAAAACTTGGAGGAAGACCCTGATCGGGCTTCGGAGGCAGAGGTAGAGGGAGTTGTTGAAGAGCTCGGGGGCAGAGAGGACGTTGTTCCTTCGGACGCCGAGGTGGGGACTTCGGGAGGAGACTTGTGGCCAGACTTCCAAGTCCTACAATCTCTAGACGCCGAGGACGCCCTCGAGGTCGCGATGTCCAGCACCCCTCGCATTGATCTGGGGTTCCTGAGGCAGAGGCAAGCCCTTGCTGTTGGGAGGGGTCGAGGATCGACCGGCGGCGCCCCATCTGCAGGGACCAGTTCCACCCCATCCTCAAGAGTTCTCAGCCGGGGTCAAGTGCGTGACCGGGATCCTCAGGTAGAGGAGGAGAGAAGGGTCAAACATCGGCACGACGGCCTCGGCCGAGGATCCAGGGCACCTTCCGCTCAGCAGCAAAGCGGGAGAGGCCGTGGGTTACCCCCTGCTCCTCCGCAACAGCAGCAACAGCAACAGCAACGACAACAGCAACAACAGCAGCAGCAGACTCCCCCTTCCCTTCCGCCGACAGTGGAAACCGCGGAGTGGAATCCCCGAGCGACCGATCACATGAACCGAGGATCAGGGTCGATGATTTCATTTTGCTGGATCCTCATGTCGCCAATGCAGTGAGTGAGACACTGCATTTCGAGGCTGACATGGCGGCTCATAGGGGGCGATCAACCAACGTGTTGTTTCCACTCCATCATCCAGAATTCCCTGGTGGTAGTTCATTTTTGCTTTGGTTTCTTCTCTCTCTTGCTTTCCATTTTTGTGACACACCTTTTTCCCTTCTTTGCAGGCTACCCAACAGATCTCCATAATAGCTGCGCGGTACCATGGATCTAGGATGGACCTCCAGCGGGCCCGAGAGCAGAAGAAGAAGCGGAGGGGGCTCTCGCCAGAGCTATGGAGTACGTGGCCGCCAGGGATTCTACCCTGGCGGGGCAGGCTGCTCAGATCGAACAACTCCTCAAGGATGCTGAGTCGGCTAAGGTTGGCGCTGAAAAGCTAAGTGCTGCCCTTGCCGATGCTGAGGGGAGGATTACCGAGCAGACGCGGCGGCTTTCTGCCGCGGAGGAAAGGGCGGTTGGCTCAGAGGAAAGTTGTCTGGCTCTCACCCAGGAGCTGGACAGGATCAGAGCCGAGGCACTAAACAGAAAATCGGAGGAGCAACTCCGGGAAGAGTTTGCCGATGACGTGCTCCCTGCTCTTGAGGAAAACAGCAAGGAGTTCTTCAAAAAAAGGGTGGGACGAGGCTCTCGAGTCTGCTGGAATCCCGTCAGACTCCCCGCTCTTCCAGATACACAAGTACGTGCCCTCGGCAGAGATGGCACGGGCCGAAGCAGAGATTGCTGCCGAGGGTGAGGTCCCAACGCCGGTGCAAGTCTCGGCGGATCCGCCCGAGGCAGTGATAGTGGATTTGTCCGAGGACGCCCCGCCGGACCATGCTCCTGATCCTCAAGTTGCCCAAGGTCTCCCTGTTGCCGAAGTACCTCTCCTGCCTGCTCCAGAAGCTTCTCAACCTTTTTTTTGCTGACTCGCCCTTGGCTGATGTTCTGAGATGCCCGGAGGGGCCAGATGAAAGCCCCTTTTTTTCTTTTTGATTGTACTCTTTTTTTTTTTTTTTGTAGCCTTTGGGGACGCAAAGCCCCTCTTCTTGAAATAAATCATGAGTATTTTTTCCTTTTTTGCGCACAGTAGTGTTTTGTTTTTTTTTTTTTTTTGGGCTGTCTTCGGGGCTGCTCGCCCATTTCAAGAGGCATGCTCTTGTGTTTCTTCGGGGACATGAGTCCTTGAACTCTGTCCCCAGGGCCTTGCCCTTCCAAGAGGCTTGCTCCTGTATATGCTTCGGGGACAGGAGCCCTTGGACTCTGTCCCCAGGGCCTTGCCCTTCCAGGAGGCTTGCTCCTGTATATGCTTCGGGGACAGGAGTCCTTGAACTCTGTCCCCAGGGCCTTGCCCTTGCAGGAGGCTTGCTCCTGTATTTGCTTCGGGGACAGGAGCCCTTGAACTCTGTCCCAGGGTCTTGCCCTTCCAGGAGGCTTGCTCCTGTATATGCTCGGGGACAGGATCCTTGAACTCTGTCCCCAGGGCCTTGCCCTTGCAGGAGGCTTGCTCCTGTATTGCTTCGGGGACAGGTCCCTTGAACTCTGTCCCCAGGGCCTTGCCCTTTCTTTGTCGTTGGCAAGCACTTGAGGGAGAGAATACTTCAAAAGTAATATTTTCTTTTAGATTCATAACATTCCATGGTCGCATTACAAGTTTTCCATCCATGCCTTCTAATCTGTACGACCCGGCG